AAGGATACCTTTAACGACTGGAATCCAAACTTGTATACAAAGATGGAGTTATAAGGATTAAGTTAAAGCAGCCCAAATTCACATCTTTAGGACGAAAAACGAAAACAGTATTTCTGCTCAGCAATTTTTCCACTTAAAATTTCTAATAAATTCTTTCCTTAAGGAAAATTGTGATACAAATTTCTTTTACTTTAGTCTGTGTGGTTTTATTTTTCCTAATTTGTGCAATCGGGCTACAAATTAAACTTTTTTTTCTTCTTTACAATCACAATAATTTGACGTCAACAATAATGATTAAATAAAAAATTTGGTGGATATTTTTGGTTTAAATTAATTTATATTTAAGGTCAAATCAAACTGTTGCCTTTAAAATGTTTTGCATTTCAATTGACTAACTGCACTTCCCATTCAAAATCATTAGATGTTGGCGTCTTTTAATTTTTAAATTTCTAAAAATACACGTCTTCCTCTATATACCATAATTATGTACATAAAATAGAAATTCTTAATTCTTAATATATTTGGACCTACACCAATAATATAATCACATGTGTTTAATGACGTAGTAATGAAAATCAAGAACAATAGATAAAGTAAAAGTAATTTTTATTGTTTTGTTTTCATTTGAAATAATAGAACTTGAAACAAGCAAATTGAAACGAAAAAATCAAACGCTACATGACTCACATTGAATATTTCAGTTCAAGGTTAAAATTATTTACAATTCTTGAATATTTTCCAGGATTTTCTCTCTGAGTAAATTTTCTCTTTTTTATTTTTTTTTTATTATTTTTATTTTATTTTGGCAGTGGGTCGAATAAACAATTAATTTTCTCACATATTTTGTTAATGGAAAAATCATGAATTGTGACATGAATGTTGCGTAAAGGTTTGTGGAGCTAAAATATTTTACAATTAATTATAAATCATCATATTTTTAAAAAAAATGTTTTATTTATGGTTATTGTTATTGTATATGCAAATAAACCATATTTATGGACATAACGTATGTGTGTCTAATTAAAAATATTATATTTTTACATAAATTGTGAAAATAGTTCACACATGTAGATTCATTATGCAGGGTGCTTCACATAAAGTGACCAATACTTTCAGGGATCATTATTTGATTAATTTCCAGCAAATTTCCATTTGGTGGGAGTGTGTATGCAGATACACTCGTTTTCGAACTACAGCTTGTTGAAAATAAGCATAGTAAATAAATGCTTATAGTTTCGGATCCATGTGACATATAGTAAACTTCCTGGGCTGGTTTTATAGGCCATTGATTGCTCTTTATTTACGAATAACGTATCTTTTATAAAATTAGCATGTATTTTTATAGTTTTGCCACTGAAACATTTTAAATGTTTTTTAAAAACATGCAAAAAATGCATTAAAAAACTTTTTAAGTTAGTATGTATAATGAGAAATTTGTACGTTATGAAACTTCTGAAATTTGCATTTTTCTCGTGTTTTTTAGTTCAAGGAATCGTCCCTGAAATTATTTGCTACTTTATGCGAAACATCCTGCATAGTTTCTTTTTCGGTATGGTATTTAAAATTAAAGTGCACAATGTTGAACAAAATTAATTATAAAAGTAAATATAAGAACATTCAACACTTATGGTTGATGCAACAAATTTCATATGGTAATGTAAATTGTAAACAATCCTGTTGGCCTATAAGACCAACCCATCTTTGAATGTTATAAAAATTTTTCTAATTTAATTGTTTATTTAATTTTTGTTTTTAATACAAAACAAAAACACAAAAAAAAAAACTATTTTTATTTAAAATAAAAAAAAACATAGAGAAAAAGTGGAGATATTTTAACTAATCAAACTTTTGAAAAATTTATTATGAAATATATATTTAAATTGGAAAACTTAATTAATGTAGGAAAATTTCAAGTCATTCTGTATAAGGAAATTTTGCAAAGTGACTAAAAAATTCGGGACATATTGGCATTCGGCATGGCCTATATCCATAAAAGATTTCTGCCAGATTTCCTTAAATACATACGGAACATCTTTTTCCTTGTTAAAATGCAATTAATTTACTTTAGGGCGAGTTTCAATAGAAGAATTCTTTATCAAGAGGTTTAAAAAATTAGTTATTCCATAATGCATATCTCCTGATTAGGCAGATTTAGGTTATTCATGATTTTTTTGCTTTAGGAGATTTCAAAACATCTAATTCTAGATAGTTATTTCCTTAATGCTAGAACTGTCCTGATCTCAAAATAAATGGAATAAAAATATGAAAAAATAACGTAAACAACGATGCAAATCTAATTTGAAATATTTTAATTATAGTCATTCTAAAAATTTTTGTTTGATATTAATTGTTTATCTTATCTGTATATTATGTAGATTATATCGTTCTAATTTATTTTTTAAATTTTTCCATAAAATTTAATATTTTAAAACATGAACGTTTTTCTTAACTTCCAATGTTAAGTTATAAACGGAAAAACACTATGAAAATTTTGTCGATAGTGACCGATGAAGCAAAGTGAGCAGAAGCACGTACACGATAAAACATTTCTATCGGTAAAAACACAAACATGCTTATTTTAAAAAATTAAAATTTCCTATACCAAATTTATTTCAAAATTTAATTTAAATTATGAGAGACTATAAATTTGCTAGATTAAATTAAAAACCCATAATTTTAGTTGTACTTGTTTCTTTTCGGTTTCTTTTTTATAAACAAAAATGTGGTATTGTTTTCTATGCTCAAAAAACAAATTTTCATACTTTTGGTCATCGGTAAGCTTTTAGTTTTCTTACAATAAATTCAATTTTTATATTATTTGGTTTATTTACAATAAAAATCTAAATTTTATAAAGGAAAAAACAAAAAAGAAAACCAATGGAATATAAAAAAAAATATGTTTTTGAATGGTTCCAAAAATAAAACAAAATATTTTTATGTTTATAAATAAAAATTACAATGAAAATAAAATTAAAAATAAAAGAAAAGTAAGCACCAAAACAAAAATGTAAAGAATCGCGCCATGTTCCATAACTTCATTAAAATTTGAGAGATCGTAAAAGAAAAAATTGTAAAAAAACCTCTCAAATGTAATCGAATTGTTTTATTTTATTGTGAATTTTTGGCAAATTAACAAATTATAATAAGTAAATACAACAGTCTGTCAATTATTTACGATAAAACCTTAAAAAGAGAATTATGAAAACTATGAGATATGAAAACTTTTCAATATCATTTGACTATGACAGTACATCGAGTAAAAAATCCTAAAAAATAATGAACTTCAGATGTTAAAAACATTTTATTGAATTAAGAAACTAAAAGTTAAACTTTCTTAGTTTTAACACACTTAACATTCGTAACACTAACGTTCTGCTAGTGAAACAGAAAGCAAAATACAAGAACTATAAAAAAGAGTTGATAAATAATGGGGCTTATTCAGAGTATTGAATCATTTAGTCACTGAGATATTCATCGTTAAAATTTCAAAAATTTTATCATAAACACGAATCATTTGTAAGAATGGTTTTTGTTTGCAATAATTATATCGAACTTTTTACGATAACTATCACTATCAATTCAGATTCGATATTTAGAGAAAGCCCCAATATTTAAAATTGATGCCATTGTAATAGGTGCTTTTTATATTTAAGAAAACTAGATTAACATACGGTGGGAACAGTGGTACGATAATAATATGCAAAATGACGACCATTTCATCGTAAATTCACAATCAAAATTATTAATTTGAGTTTATTTTATTGAATAAGATTGCTTTCTTGTTAAAATCCAACAAAATATTTCTGAAAATTACAAATTTAATTTAACTGTAAATTATGAGGTGAATAACATTGGTTTTTTATTTTCCACCTACTTTATAAAAATTTCAAAATATTTCGAATAACTGTAATCACAATTTCTCAAGCCAAATTGTGTAAAAAATTAATTTTCTGAAATTTTTTCTCTTAATTTTTTTGTTTGCAAGATTAAGAATTAGTATTCGACAGTTCCAATTTTATTGAAATTCACATACATACATACATATGTACATATCTAGGATAGAGAAATGATAATGAAATGATGATGTGAATAACAATATCAAATGCTTACTATACTCATTGATCAACGGTAATTGCTTTGACGATATTATTATGTTCCATATTCCTTTTATTTTTTGTTTTGTTTTCATTTTGTTCCATTTTCATTTTTACTCTGTTTTTTTTTTGCTTTTAATAGGACAACAGTTCTTTCACTCGTATTTAGTTAGAAGAATGGAAAACAAAAGAGAAAATTATTTTCATTAAAAATATAAAAAAGAAAAATATTAATTTTTTTTTTTCTTCTTTTCCTATGCAGTGAACATTATTTTCATTTATTTTTCATAACATATACAAATATAGTAGATTTATAAAATAGAAAAATAAATAATTACTAAAATAATATAAAATTTATAAATACAATATACATATATGTATATATAAAAAAAAATATAGAAAATGTGCAAAATGAAATAAAATATTATAATGAAAAGAGAAACCGTAAATGAAATATAAAAACAACAAAACAAAACAAAAAAAAATCTAAAAATTAAAGAAGACAAAACAATATTTTCCAATATTTGAAAAATGACCGTCCACTGCGGGGGCTTTCTACTACCCCATTATGATCGTTTAGCATAAAACAACAACAACGACCACAACAATTGTTTTTTGTATTGTCTTTGTTATGAATTCTCTTTCTATTTTCATAAAAAAAATAAAATAAAATCATAATAATAAAAATATAAAAATTTTGCATACAAACAGATAAAAACAAAAATTTTTTGAAATTTGACAATCACTCGTTATAAAGCATTTGTTATAAACGGTACTTTTTTTTAAATAATTTCTTAATAAAAGAAGTAAAAGAATAAAATCGAGAATTTCTTATTTCAAATTTTCGTTCAATAACTTTTTGAAATGTTTTTAATTAAATATTGAAAAATGTTCTGTGAAAATAAATAAATTAATAAAGTTGAAAAAAACTGTAAAAACTTTCTAAGTGAATAGCAATAAAATCGACAATTAAAATAAAAGTGTTTTGATTTTGGAACTATTCAAAAGCTTGTAGCATATTTTTTTTAATATTTTAAATTAATATTTATATTTAACATTAATTATTCTTATATTCGTTTTGTTTTAATTGATTTTGTGTATAATAAAGAGAAATGGGTGATCAATTTGTTATTTCATCAGAACTATTTAATGATATTCAGTTAGATTCAGAAAAGTGTAATAATGGAAGTAAGTGTAAATATTAACATTATTTTGGAAAATTTAAAGAAATATTTAATTAGTATTGAATTCGAAAATATTTTAATAATATATAAAAACATTTTGTTTCTTCGCATCTTATTTCATTATAATTTTAACTTTAAGCATAAAGCCCTACTATTGAAATGAATTATAAAGTTTATTATAGAACCTAACATGAATTTTGTTATATGAGATTTTTAATGTTGGTCTATATTCCTAAAATCTCATTTTTGAAAGCAACAAAATCGCAGTTACAAAAATTTTTTATCATTATTGTTAACTCAAGGTAGACTTTTCGCCCTTAATGCTTTTTTAATCGAAACAGAATACTGATGACGAGCACACCCTTCTCCTTGTTCTTTATACTTGAAAAAAAAAAAAAAATAGTTACTTAACATCAAAACAGCAACGTTTCTAAACATATTATTTACAATATAACAAAACTTTATTATTAATTTACTTTTTGGCGTTTAATCATAATTTACAATAATTTACTTTCTTTACTGCGCCAAAAATATAGATAAGATTAATTAGTGTTCAATTAAATATTAAAAAATTTTACAAGTTTTAGATCGTGTAAGTAATTTTTCAAATATTCTTAAAACTATATATTTTATTTGTTTCCTCGTCTCATTGTAGATTAAGAAATGTTGAGTTTGTCTTTTGATATTTTAAAACATAAAAGTACATGACATTTTTACTCATATATCCTTAGAACTTATCACTATTTTTTCTGCATACAAATTATAATTCTTACTATATTTACTTCGATTACCTTATTAATTTTTAATTTTTAACAAAAATCAATTAAATGAAGAAAAAAAAAATAAAATATAATTCCAAACATATTTTGTAACACAAATAAAAAATATTTTATATAGAAATTATTTGTTTCCGCTATTATCGATTGCAAATAAAATTTATATAAAATTAAATTTCTAAAATGTATAAACCGGATATCCTTCACTATAAATTAAAGTTTAATTAGCAAAAATATTTCGAAAATTAAAATTTTGAAAGATTTCAAAAACATTAAGTCTTTGTTTTCTATTATTTTTTATGAGATTCCAAAACAAAATAAATAATTGTTGTGTATTATAAACTTGTATACTTATTCAATTTCATAGAATTTTTATATAGAAAATTTTTAAACGTGACATAGAGAACGTCTGATATTTATTAAAATAAAAAATAATTTTTTATATCATGTTCTACGAAACACTATAATATGTATACTCAAATATAAAATAAATCGTTGAAAAATTAGGTGGACCAAATGCAAAATATGCAAATATTAAGTAAGAATTTTTTTCCCATTTAATCCGGCATAATGATATCATTACACATACTAACTACAATACCATAACGCTTGAAACAAAAATGTTTTAGAATACGCTTACAATACTACTACTAATTATTTTACAAAATATTTTAAGAAAATAATTTCATATTAAGCAATAATGCAAGAAGAAGACGTTCAATTGATTTAAATTCAATTGATTCTAAATTAGTATGGAAAATGTATTTTGTGCAAGCATGAGTTATTTTTGTTAGATAGTATAATGCTAATGCTTATAAATGAGGTTACAGCAAGCACTAAGGTTTCGGTCAACAAAAATATTAAATTCTCCAGTTTATTGAATTGTCTAGTATCACATTCCCGTATATTAGTCATAATATAATACAACACAACAAATATTTTAAGTTTGCCAAGAAAATTTATATAGAATATTTTTTTAGAATATATTCTTTTAAATATTCAAATATGTTTATAGATATATCATTTTTGCTATAAAAACAAAAAACAAATAGTAGATCTATTTTAATTTTTCTATTTTAATTTTATGAACAGATAACGCTATATTATGTTTAATACGAGTATTATTATCATGTTGTATTTTAATAATAATCTGCTTTAGAAAATAAAGTTTTCCTTCAGGTGGTTTCTATTTCATAAATTTATACACAAAATGTTTCAGTTCGTTTCATGAATGAGAAAATTAGAAAAATGCAAAAAAAAAAGAAAAGTTTGTTATTCAACAAATACATACAAACAAAGTAGAATAAAATAAAATTTGTTTATTGACTTGATATGTTTGGGTGTACGTTACGTGTACGCAAGGTAAATACAAATTTCTCGTCAATTTATATGTTTATTGATAGCATCCATTATAAGCCATGTTGTTTTTATACCCGTACGAACGTATGTTCGAAGGGTATACTAAATTTGCTTTACCGTTTGTAACGCTAAGAAATAACGGTGTTAGATATAGACTCAAGTGTATGTTTTTGATCAGCGTCAAATTCTGAGTTGATTTAGCTTTGTCTGTCCGTCCGTCCGTCCGTCCGAACGATAACTCAAAAACTAATTGAGCTAAGTTCGCCAAATTTTCACAAATGATTTATTGTAGTAAGTGCCAGAACGCTATTTAAATTGGACGTGATCGGGGTACCGGTTCGGGTAGCTGCCATACAACTTCAAAATTTATTTGGCTATATCTCAGAAACTATAAAAGTTGTGGTATTGAAATTTCACATAAACGAATATATTAATAGGGCCAATGTGTCTCATAAAAGTCGTTGAAATTACTTGGCTCCTTCTGGTACCTGCCATACAACTTCAAAAGTTATTTGACTATATTTCAGAAACTATTAAAGCTATGGCATTGAAATTTCACACAAACGAATATATTAATAGGGCCAATGTGTCTCATAAAAGTCGTTGAAATTACTTGGCTCCTTCTGGTACATGCCATACAACTTCAAAAGTTATTTGGCTATATCTCAGAAACTATAAAAGCTGTGATATTGAGATTTCACACAAGTGAATATATTAGTAGGGCCGATGTGCTTGATAAAATTCGCTAAAATTTCTTGGCTCTTTATAGTAGTTTGGCACAACCAGTATTTTGAAAAACACATAGTACTGAAATTTTGCATAAATTAATATGGTAATACAGCAACTTAAAGTCATAGTCTGCCCCATAGTTAGTTATGGCACATTAGTTATTCGCTCATAGGATAACAAATTCGTACGGGTATCACAGAGTTGACAAGGTCAACTCTACTTTTTTTCTCGTTTTATAACCAATTTAATATTGTCTTATAAAATCTTTTGTTAAATTTTTAATTTAGGTATATATTTATTGTATAGGTGCATATTATATTTAATATTTATTTTAATCATGGAAAACGCGGAACGTTAGCAATAAATTTACACAAAAGATTAAAATTCATTTCAAGTAATTTCATATTTTGCAGCTTAAAGCAATTAATTTCTTCTCTCTCACTCAAATATGAAACTTCAGAATTAATATACAAAATAGATTTTCTTGTTATTTTATCTAGTACAATTTATACAATTAAAATATATGGGACTAGATTGCGCAAATAATTTGTCGCCCCATTTACTATAATGATTTTCTATTTAGAATTCACAGATGGATTTCTAATTATTAAAGAAATGATTTTGAAAGTGCTAAAGCAACTTCAATAGTTTATGGTATTATGAAAAGTTGATTGTATACTGTTTTTCTTCTTGGGTTTTTTGTTCTTCACGCTTCACACGTAATTGACAAATATTCGTCGAAATCATGGTGGTTTGAAGTTTCTGAATTGTTTTCTTTGAAATACGCGATTCCTTGCATTATATCTAGGAATGATTGCGGTGAAATTTTTAAAAACAATTAAATCGTACCGAAAGTTCAAAAAGGTTCAAAAAAATTTTTTTTTTCAATGGTTGATAATTTTTCCGAAATATAATTCTTTTTTTACCGACCGTATTGTGTATACAATAGGTAGGTTATGTGATGGCAACAAATTTTGCATATCGAGTTTTCGGTGGGAACGTACTTCTCCATAGTAGGGAAGTGTAAATAAACTATTTTTAGCAACCTGTCGATCTGTCGGTCTGTCCGTCTGTCGGTCTGTCCGTCTGTCGGTCTGTGTGTGCACGCGTGTATCTCAAGTTCTACTGAACCGATTTTTATGAAATTTTATATGTAAGTTTATTTCAACCATGGCACGGATCGATCAACTTTTGGGATATATCAGGCCTCGGGAACTGCACTTTTTAGCGGGCCTGTTTTACTTTTTTGAACATTTTGAAGAAACTATTCAACCGATTTGCTTGAAATTTCATATACAAGCTTCGCTCGACTGGCCCCAAAACCTCCTAACTTTTGGAAGAAATCAGGCATCAGCAACTAGACGTTTACTACGGGCCAAATATACATTTTTGGGTATATAAAGAGAAATAATCAACCGATTTTATTGAAGTTTAATATATGAATTCCTCGTATTAAAACAATGAACATATAAATTTTTTGGAAACATCAGGGCTCGAAAACTGATTTGCGGGCTGATTTTACATTTTTCACCATTTTGAAGAAAATATTCAACCGATTTGCTTGAAATTTCATATATAAGCTTCGCTCGACCGGCCCCAAAATCTCCTAACTTTTGGAAGAAATCAGGCGTCAGCAACTAGACGTTTACTACGTACCAAATATACATTTTTGCGTATATAAAGAGAAATAATCAACCGGTTTCATTGAAATTTAATATATGAATTCCTCGTATTAAAACAATGAACATATAAATTTTTTGGAAAGATCAGGGCTCGAAAACTGATCTGCGGGCCGATTTTACATTTTTCACCATATCTACGGAACTAATTGATAGAATTTCTTGAAATTTGATATTTGAGTTCTGGTTGTTACCGAAGCCAACTGACGAGCATTTCAGGGAATTCGGGTGGCACAAAATGAAAATCTATTAAGAGCCAAATTTACATTTTTCTAGGTATGTTAACTATAAGCTTACTAATGTCCTAAAAATTGGAAAGAGGTAATTAACAGGCATTTTTATAATATTCTATTACACTTTCACTTAACTAGACAATGCACAATGCGGTCGGTTATGTGCTGACCACATCAGATTTTTTTTATTGGTATGAAAAGAAAACTTCCTTTTATTCGGAATAAAAT